CTCGAATTCTTCGTCGGACATCAACTCTAGATCCGACTTGAATTTAAACAAGAAGGCATTGATTCGCGTTTCGAGGTATTCCGGATCTCGCTCGCTCTGAATCAGTACCCTATAGCCCATCGTGACGGCCGCGGGTCGTATCCCACTCCATACGACGTATCCGAGCTGTTCCTTGGTTCTCAGTTGATCGAAAGCAGGTTCATCCGTCATCTGACTGAACAGCTGTGCTTTCGCTCGCAGATCTAGGTCCATGACGTGGCCGATGTCCAGATAATATTCAATTGCATGGTTGATATTGGCGGGATCACTCAATACCTGTTTGTAAACGAAATTGCTTGTTTCTGGTAGGATGACATTTCTTCGCAACAACCATTCCGAGGGAGGAAATGCACGTGATTTCAATGTTGACTCAATCAGGTGGCCAATTTTCTTGGCTTCTTCTTTGTACAGATTTCCATGAGCCAGCACTTCTATATGTGCCTGTTGGAGTAATTCTGGAACAAATGTTCTGATATCGTCTACTGTGATATGCGGAAGTTCCTTGGCGTAGGAGTCGTTCATCCACGAGCGCTCATTCAACAGCCATCTGGTGTAGTCGCCAATCTGATAATACGGCTGCTGATAGGCCCAATTCTTATATTTCCTGGCCATGCGCTCTTTGATAATCTCAAAGCGATCGGTTCTGATGTCAATGGTTCGGATCGTAGTCAAGATCTTCTCCAAGAGGACTGCCATCTTGTCGTTGTAACCATGCACGCTAATGTCGAAGCCAAGCATGTTTGCTCCGATGGCATAAGAGAGGCCAGAAATCTCGGCGTCATAAGAGTAACTTGACAGAGCATCCTTGACAAGGTTGATGAAGAGGTTCGTCTTGACGTAGTTCGCAGCATTCGCAGCTGTAACGCTGTTTCGAATTTTGATATGCAAGTTGGCCTTGGGCACCCAGAAGGTGTCATCCTTCTTCCACCATAGGCGGACCTTGTCATCATTTCGAAGTAATTTTGGTGCCTTTGCGGGTACCTTGACGTCCGCCTTCTCCACATCCAACTTCGTAGGGATGAATTCGTTTTTGTGAGGCAGATGTAGTTCCGCTATTCTGTCTGACTCCAGGTCAGACAATGCCTTTCGGACATCGGAGAGCACGTCTGTGGGTATCCTTTCCACTTTGTACTCTGTCCCGTACCATTTTTCTTTCTGGTTCCAGTCACCGGGGTATTCCTGAGACACAAGCATGAGTCTGAAATTGTCCTCGCGGAGGTATTGCATTGCCTGTGCAATGGCTTGAGCGTCGAACTTTCTGAACTTGCTGGTACTGCTGAGCAGCCAGTTGCGGGGTAGTCCAGGCTTCTGTAACACGCAGCTTGTGGCGCTTGTAAATCGGCTTGCAGGAGACTTCTGACGGAACCTGAAATCCACCTCTGCCATGTTTTTCATCTCCTCGTGCATCCATTCAACTGGTGGAGTTGCCTTCATCATTCCAATGTACTGGAAGACAATCTTGACAATCTCATGGTAGTTTTTCAGTCCGTCAGGTGTCAACCCGATCTCGATCTCGAAGAAGGCAGAGCCTGGGCAAACAGGATGATAGCCAGCGGATAGGGTTTGAGCCAGACCTCTCTCTTTGAGATAAGCCAATATGCTACCTGGGCCTTCGTGTCCAATCAAATGACTGATGTACCGGGCAGGTTGGGTCTCGAACATGTCTTCTTCATCTTGCCAAGGGAAACTTATCTCCAAAGAACGTGACTCCATGACCGGCTTTGCGTAGACTTCGATCGACAATTGGTCTTTGCTCAGTATCTCAACACCATCCCAGCGGTTCGGAGGCAAGTCTTTATTCTTGACTTCGGAAAAGAGCTCCGCGACCCAGTTTTCTAGTTCATCGAGGGACTCACGACCCAGAACGACGAGCTTCATCCTGTTTGCGGAGTAATGCCGTTCATAGAAGCGGATGAACTCATCGCGGATCTTGACACCTCTTTTTTCAGGCTCATCCCTTAGGGTTTGGAGATTACCCGTGGAAAAATGATGGAATGGATGTTTAGGATTTGAGAGCGATTTTGTCAATTGCGATAGCCGCCATCCGTCACTTTGTAGGTTCTTCTTATTCTCCGAGTCCACTGCTCTCAGCTCCCTGTCCAAAGTGTTCTCCAGAAAGAGTGGCTTTACGAAGAATTGTGCAAATCGGTCCAATGCGCCGTACAGAGGACCTCTCGACGAACCATTCATTGTGATTTCAGTAGTACCATTCACCACACCATTGGTGACACCATTGGTTAGCTTGTCGTTCGACTCGTGCTGCGCGGCACATTCAAAGAAATAATTTGTCTGCGTAGCTGCTGTGTATGCGTTTGAATGCCCGGAGTTCGACGAGAGATAGGAACTGTATTCGTTTTCTATGGGGTACTGTTTGGTCGGTCAGCAGCCAAAACAAGAGAGATAAGTGAAGAGTGCGAGCGTACTTTCTCGGTTCCCATGAAGAGTAGATGCTCAACGGCATGAGCCATTCCCGGCATGTCCTCTTCATCTGAGAAGTTCCCAACATTGACGTTGAGACTTGCGCTGGCTTTGTCGGTCTGTGCGTCATGAACAAGCAGGGCCTCGAGCTTGTTCGGAAGCTCGATGACTCGGTAGCATCTGTCGTCAAGGTCTGGTTTCTCCAAATCATCTGTTATGCGTCTGACTGAGGTCATGACTGTTGCGAAGGGCCGAGTGGTAGAGGGTTGTGAAAATCGAACAGTCGCGGCCAGAGGCTTAAACGATGGCCGAGGGCGGAAGGAGGACGAGATTCGATGGGGGATGAACGTCAAAGATGCCAGGCGGATGGAAAGGCTCATATAGAATAACTGCCCGTTTGGAATGATCAGGCAGGCACAAGGAATGCGTCACAGTTGAACAAAGGCCAGGGATCAAGTAATCATGGCGAATCCAAAGGTCGGTGGTGCTTCGAAGGAGCAAACATATCAAACACAGTGCCTGCGCCTGCGGCTTCCCGCCTCTGGCCGTCGACGCTCCACCTGCAGCCTCGTGCCAAGCAAAATTGAGGACCTTGACCAATCCATGTTTACCAACACGGCCTTATCCACCTTCCTGTGGCTCTGCTCGGCATCAAAGCAGGTAGAGGAGACTTGGATTGCTGAGAGTTCATGGGTATTATCAAGAACGCTGAGGGGCGACCGGCTTGATCACGCGTGCAATGAATTATGCATAGCAAAACACGAAATGCTGAGCATGGAAGGCTGCAGCACAATGCAACACAGCGAGGGCCGTGTCCCACCGCATCATGATTGATCGCTGGGCCCTTCGCGCAAGCCTGTGTTTCCCGAACAACCCTTTACGACGTCATTGAACGGTTGCACAATGCCAGCACGATGATCATGCACACATGCCAGTGTCGACGACAATCAAACTGTTGGTGGGTGGAGCTCTCGTCGTTTGACCGCGTTAAAGACGATGGATGCAATGACTGGCAGTGTACCAGCCAATTTGCTACTGTAGCATAGAATCCATCTAGACCGCGAATCTCTAGAGAATGACGAGGTTGGTTCTTTGCAACACTCAAAGGCTCATTCCTCGTGACCGTCGTAACTTCACGTTGGTCTTGTAGCAGAAAGGGGAGACGCTCAGGTGTCCTCGGAGCTGGGAGTCAGGAGATAGATCGCATGTGGGTTCAGTTGTCGACTGGCCTGGCCAGAATGGGTTACCCACCTCCGAAGTGCACCATATCATCATATTTCCTGATAAATGGGTCGGTCATCGATGTTGCTCGATATTTGATTTGCCCTCAAGTCACTCCACTATTTTCTTCAAGCCCTTAATAATGCCGCGTTTGCTTTCACAATTATTGCAAAGCGTACAAGTAAATACAAAGTAAACGCCAAGTATGGAGGTTAGTTCACTGTCTGGCGTCCTTTTCAAGGTATGGAGTATACGCTGCCTCTGTGAGCCAGTTTCCAGTTTCACATTAGTAGTTCACCTGTCGAGGTACAGAACCATCGCTGAGGATATCTAGTAAGCAAAACAGTGGGATTGTGTAACAAGTAGTCGATACTCCGCGTGTGGGGCCCTTGAGGCTGAAACACCCAGCCTTGGGGTATTGAAGGTGGCACAGTAGGTAGCCGTTAGTCTCAGGAAGAAAGCTCTTGTGCCGACGCAAGCTTCAGCAAATGAACCGGCTGGTGGAAATCTACGTCGATATTATTGACAAGTTCATGCGTCTGTTGTGAAATGCCATGACATAAACATCGTTCCCTGTGATAAGGCATAAAAGTACACAAAACGGGCACTTAAAGATAGTAGAACAGTGTACTCGGTACTGAGGATCTTCCCGAAGATCGTGCACGTGGCACGGTCCCTTTATGTAATAGCGTATGGAGAATCGCATACTTGACACTCGGTATACCTATTGGGTATTACGACGTACCCAGTATTCAGACTTGCAACACTTGGATCAGCCCCGAATAATAGATGGGGGTGGAATTGATCCCGTGCCCAGCCCTCAGAATTTTTGTTTACCATTTCCAAGTTAGGTCTAGTGCTAGGTGGTTGGTGTGCCCACCTACGAAAATTTCGCCAATAGGAGTAGAGAAATGAGTTTTGAAAGCTTAGCTCTAGCTAATACACCTTTTTCAGCCCCCTTCCCAGCCCTGCCATCTAGATTTTATCTTTACTGCCACCAACATTCTATTCTAATCCTTTCCCAATTTGCTTGCTTGCCACTCAATATTGCACACTTCCTGCTTGTCAATGCTGAATTGGACTATACTTTTTCACGATGGAGGCTGGGGCGAAGAGCTTCAAGGTCGTGCACGTCGACTATATATCGCAAGATCGCTTAGAGGTTTGTGCGTTCTTCTTTCATCCATTCAACTCACTTCAACGCAGCAGCCTTGATCCTTGTTCATCTAACCAAGCATACCTGTGCTCCATATCTCATACATCTTATCCCTCCTTCATCAGGCATCTGCATTGGCCATTCTGCACACTCATTTTGTGCCGTCATGCATTCTCGCACAAGATCCGTTGCTATCGCAGCAGCCGCTCTCTCTTCATTGCCATTGTCTTCGGCGCTTCCAAGGCCACAAGCCTCTCCAGCTCAAACAGACTGCTTGTCTCCCTGTATTGTGTCAACCTCACCTGACCACGCCGGCATCTGCAACCCGGATTCCGTCGCCGCTGTTCAATCTTGCGTCGTATCGACATGCCCGCCCGAATCCATCGCGACCGCGATCGGTATGATAGTGTCACACTGTGCAGAGGAGCACGGTCCTGCGCAATATACAACTACTACGGCGGAAGTCTGGAATGACTGGGCAAGCACAACGTCTTCCCTTACAACCACGACTTCGCCTTCAGTTCAATGGAGTGACTGGACAAGCACAACATCCTCCCTTACAACCACGACTTCGCCTTCAGTTCAATGGAGTGACTGGACAAGCACGACATCCTCCCTTACAACCACGACTTCGCCTTCAGCTCAATGGAGTGACTGGACAAGCACAACGTCTTCCCTTACAACCACGACTTCGCCTTCAGTTCAATGGAGTGACTGGACAAGCACAACATCCTCCCTTACAACCACGACTTCGCCTTCAGTTCAATGGAGTGACTGGACAAGCACGACATCCTCCCTTACAACCACGACTTCGCCTTCAGCTCAATGGAGTGACTGGACAAGCACGACATCCTCCCTTACAACCACGACTTCGCCTTCAGCTCAATGGAGTGACTGGACAACTACTACGACAAGCACAACTACGAGCCAGACAACTGAGACATGGTCAGATTGGCTTATATCTACGTCAGTGGTTCCTGTCGCTCCTGTGGCAACAAGCTCTGCGTGGCAAGACTGGACAAGCACAAGCATCACGACTTCCTCTAGCAGTACGACTTCGTTGCCTTCGGCATGGGCTGATTGGACAAGCACAAGCATCACAACCTCTACAACCTCATGCACTACGACTTCGACGCCTTCATCCTGGGCAGATTGGACAAGCACGAGCACCATGTCTTCGGGCGAAGTCAAGACCAGAGTTACACCCTCCGCCAGCAGCACCTATACAACGACATGGACTTTTGGTGGCCCTTCGTCTGTTCCGGCGAGCAGCTCAAGCACCACGCCAGTCGCCCCCATTGCATCTACTTTTACCGGTGGCGGGAACAAACTTGCATCATCTGCTAGTATGATCCTTGCGGTCATGATCGTTGCCTTGCCCATGTTCTAACGGGAGAATGAGTGGGACCGGCAAAGAGTGGAGACGCACGTGTGTCTTGTTTTATTATCAATGGGACGGCAGTTGGGGAACACAGGAAAGGCGAAAGGTTCAACGGCACTTCATTGCTCTTCAGTTTCGGCACTTCTTCGACGGCAAAATTCAGCTTACGACATACTTAATACTCGATTACATATTGGATTATTTGATGCACAGACGGATGATGTCTTTATTATGATATTTCAGAAAGAGGGTTGCACGTATTACCTTCATTGGTTTCTAGGTGGGAAAAAGGATGAGAATACGAAGAGGGAAGGAAGAGAAGAAGGATCTTTCGGACATAATATGAATTTGGATACGTATGAAGGACTGAAATGAATGTAGACACGAAGCAAACGTGGCTTCATGAAAGTACGATATAGTTAGCTGTACAAAGATATTGGGGTAAGAGAATACAAGGCACCTACCACTTTCACAGCCCTGACGTTGTTTCCAATACGGCATACCTTTTGTTGTCTCCTAGTTAGCCAGTAATAACACGGAGATTACTCCACAGCGTAAGTAGCAGTTTCGGTATATGCCTAGTCGTGGAGAGGACGTAGACCTTTTCCCCAGCAGGCAGACACCCGCTAAAACCCCATTTCGGGGCAAGCTCGGCATACTTGCTTCCTCACGGCGGCTCCCCAAAGCCTTGTTGCTACTGTAGGTACCAGCCTATTGGAACGTCGTCTGTTCCTTCGAACTTACTCCGCCCCTTTCCTCCAATCCCATCAATATCATCTACTGCCAACTGAGAAAGTGGCTCACTCGACCGTTCGATGAATCGAAACCACTATACCCGCTCTTGCAAGCGTCCGTCGAAATGTCAAGGGCAGTAACAGGGCTAGAAGAGATTTCGCCAATTGCTGCCTGTCAATCTTTTGCCGGTTCGAGATTTGGATTTCCTGGCAACATACGGAGAAACAGAGAGTGGTCACCTGTTGGCGATCCGAAATTTTCTTCTCCAAATTTGAAGCTTCCATGGGCTTTGCACTTCTTCTTAGCTAGCGTGCTCCTCGGCTAAAGGGCAACAACTAGGGTTTCGAGTGGGCTGAGGAAACCGGGCGAATCCCGGGTTGAAGAGCTGGAAATGTCCTCAATATCAAAACCCCACCACCCACACAAACGACTGCTCAGCTTGCTACGCACCAGGTTCCCCGTCAGTCTCGGTCTGCTTTGCGGGGACAATCATCAAGCGAACCGGACCAAGTACAGAGCGCGAACTGCTCATCCCGGGGTCCACAATGACATAAACCCTTCCCCCCTTCCCAATATGGATACATCTCCTCCTGGTCACTGGTTGCGGGACGGCGCTGTCAGAGCGGAACCGCAAGTGATGAAATGAGGGGAGGAAGAGATGAAGATGGAGAAGCTATGACCCACGAAAGACAAGGGCGAGTATAAAGACGAACAGTGGTTGCCGGAGCCCCGTCAGTTGCAACTCGAAGTGGGCAGGAGTATCCCAGCCAGATCTCCCGAGTCTCTCACAAGAAGCCTACAAGCGAGGCCTATCTCTTTTGTTGTATATTCTCTCAAGCAAAGCCTTCAATATCCCCCAGGACCACAAGATGCCGAACACCAAGATTGTACATGTCCCTCACCTGGGCGGCATCGATGCCGCGTACCAGATGCCTCACCCTTATGACCCATCCAAGCCGACATTGATTCTCGTGAATAGCTTCACCACTTCATCTGAACTGTATCGGAAGCAGTACGCCAACAAGGCGCTGACAGACAAGATGAACCTTTTGGCCATCGAACTGCTCGGCCACGGGCAGACACGGACTAAGTCTGAAAATTTTACCTATTGGGACACTGCAATCATGAACATTCAGGTCATGGAGGCGCTAGGAATTCCAAAAGCTTTTGTCCTGGGCACCAGTCAGGGAGGGTGGATTACGGTGCGGATGGCGCTGTTGGCACCCGATAAGGCATGTCTCCATGACCCGCCTGTCTCTACAAGGATATGCTGACACGTGCCTTATAGATCCAGGGCATTATCCCTCTCGGCACCTCGCTGGACTATGAGTCCGAGCGAACACGCAAGCTCGGCTGCTGGGACGGCGTTGCCGCCTGTACAGGCCCAATCGACATGTGGACGACCAAGACCCCTACACCCGATTTTCAACCTGACATCGATTACTGCGACTTTCTAATTGACATTGGCTTCGGAAAGGACTGTCCCCAAGAGACGCGAGACTTCTGGCGCAAGACGATCCAAGCGAATTATCAGGGTGACGACGGTCGCAGGCGGGCGAGGATGGCGGCGATCAATCTGCGGGAGCGAGACGGGCTGCATGGACGATTGTTTGATGTCAAGTGTCCGGTTATGTGGTTGCATGTGAGAACTCTACCCGGCCCATCATGTGGCACCCACTTCATGATATAATGTAGCATGCGACCAACGTGTGAGATGCTAACTTGGAAATCGTGTAGGGAACTGCTGATGTTGTCTACAGTGTAGCCAATGCCGAGCAGGAAATCAAGCTCTTCGTCAACTCCCCGTCGGCGGAATTGGTTGTCGTACCGGGCGGCGCTCATTTCTTATCCGCCTCTCATCCGAATGAGGTCGACAATGCACTGATCGCGTTTGTGGGGAAGTATGCTTGAACCCGGAAGTGAGACTCTTCTCGGGAGACTCGAGGTACACTCGCCAGCTTTGATGGTGCCCCGGTAGCGGAGAGCGCGTTGGGTAATAAGTCTCTGCCGTGTCTATCAGGCCTGAACAGGATAGGCAGTTTAGATGGCAGAGTTATACAATTCCCTATCACTGCCAGAGTATAAACACACTTGAAAACAAAAGCCCATCCTCTTTGGAAGAACCAATTGAAAACTTTTCTTATCCGTCCTTGAACATTTCCGCGACCGCTTCGTACTAAGGGCGTCCTTGTTCTTGGAACTCCGAAGGACGAAGAGCCGCCGCTCAGTCGGCCGAATTCTCTGGCAGAACAGCGTTAATGGCGCCTAATATGCTTTATGTCGCGTTTAGGAGCTTTAGGCACCCGCCGGTAAATGTGGAAGTTTGTCATGTTGCGAGTTGTGATATACTAAGTTGAGGCGGCATATTGTACTGCAAGGTTGCGGATCCTTTTATTTCGGTCAGGCCCCCATAGGGGCAGGCTGCCTTGATCAACTACCACATCGATTCCGGAGACGTCCAGAAAGCATTTTATCTACGAAATAAAGAATAGAAGTGTGGCCTGAAAATAGTCCGATATAGGCCCACCGGGAAGCCAGCAATCAACTCCCGAGGGTATGCGAACAATCGTGTCACAGAATATCGGGTCGTGCGAAAATAGTAGTGGGCTGTGGGTATGTCGTCGGATTGATAGAGACCAGCCCGGCTCTTTAAACTAGAGAGGCCAGAAAAGATGCGATCCCATTACCACCTGGATGGTGGACGTCGTTCATCTCGATGGCGACTGGCATCCACGGCAGCGTTGATGAATTATTCTTTGATAACAACAATGTAGCTTCATGGGGTCTAACGTGTTAACGCCAGTTATAATCGGGTCTCTTCAATATCACCACAGGGAGAATTAAGTATCCAGAACAGATTGACAGACAGCGTGGCACGGAGATTCTGGTGTAAAAGCAGCGGCTAGCTTTGAACGCGGGTCGTGGCCAAGTCACTAAAGCAGCAACTGCGCAGCCCCTAGTTCCAACCTCAAGACCGGTAGATCTATTCGCCTGCCTGTCTGTCGATGTCGTCCTTGCTGCCACAACTTGCAAGCTGCCACCGCTCAGAGGTTCCTTGGTTTCGAAGCAGTCTCATACTATCTCTCGCTCTTTAAACTTATTGAAATCTCGTATTTCAAAAGATGGAAGGTGGGTTATTCTCGGCTCTACAGCATTTCCGTAACTAAAATCCGATCCAGGTCTGTTGTTCAACGTCAACGGGGGCTACCTGGAGGGTATAGTTCGTGGCTACCGCAATGCGCTCCTGACGAGCACGAACTATGGCAATGTATGTACCCTCATGAAACAGTCCAGGGACGCCACATTAACAGAACCTAGCTCACGCAGTGCGAAACTATCGAAGACGTCAAGACGCAGCTCGGTCCGGCTTACGGCGAGGCGCTCGCAAATCTTCCTCCAAATCCCTCCACATCGGCTCTGGCGAGTAAGACTACAGAGAAACTCGTCTCTGACTTCAGATACCTCCAAGGGCAGGCGACGGGATCATTGGCAAAATTCATGGAATACCTTACTTACTCGTACATGATTGACAATGTGGCCCTCCTCATTACTGGGACACTACACGAAAGAGACACCAAGGAATTATTGGAGAGATGTCATCCGCTGGGATGGTTTGAGACAATGCCGGTTCTTTGTGTGGCCACCAATATCGAGGAGCTGTATAACTCAGTCCTCATCGAAACTCCCCTTGCTCCATATTTCAAAGGAAGCTTGAGTCACCAGGATCTGGATGAGCTCAACATCGAGATTGTCCGAAACACCTTGTACAAGAACTATCTGGAGGATTTCTACAATTTCGTGAACACAGATCCCGATATGGCCATGACTCCGACTGGAGAAATCATGTCAGAAATCCTCGAATTTGAAGCTGATCGACGAGCTATCAACATCACCATCAACTCCTTCGGGACAGAGCTGACCAAGGACCAGAGGAAGAAGCTCTATCCTGAATTTGGGAAGCTACATCCAGAGGGAATGCTCATGCTCTCGAGAGCGGACGACCCGGAAGGTGTTGGACTTGCAGTCAGCGGTGTGGGTGACTACAAGCGTTTCTTCGACGAGGTCGGATTCAACCAAAGCGGTGTGGGCGCTAGCAACATGGTTGGAGGCACGGGTGGTGACTCCAAGTCTCTGGAAGACATGTTCTATCAGAAGGAGATGGAGCTCTCCAAGATGGTTTTCACTCGACAGTTTACCCACGCGGTTATATATGCATGGGTGAAGTTACGAGAGCAGGTTGGTTGGAATCCCCACTTGAGAGACAAGACTGCTCACCCTACTTTAGGAAATCAGAAATATCACCTGGATTGCCGAATGCATCGCTCAAAATCAAAAGGAGAGAATAGGAAATTACATCAGTGTGTTCTAACATGGTTAGGGTCATTGTCACGTGAACAGCACGGCGTTCGGTAGAAGGGGGTCTGCCTTCGCGGCCTACCACCTTGATAGCTCCAGACCTAATGAACAACTTTTTTCAACAACCTCTCAAGACGGCTTCCTTCGGCCTGTTTTGAAGATTTATCGATGCAGCGACTTCCAGGGGCCAGAGACGTCTGCGTCAAGAGCTCCTGACCACCTTCCGCACCGACTGCTCAGGGTGTGGTTGCCTGAGGAGAAATCATCAACAGCTCAACATCAATTGAGCTGTTCATCTATCCTCTGAAGTAACTTTTCGACAAACATTGTCGAGACGATCATCTACATCGACAATATCGTTGATTCATCTGCCTGATATTGCAGTCATTGATATCCTCACCTATCACGCAGCTTATCTCCCAAGTTCGACCTCTCATTCGATTGTTCGATCAATACCTTCGCACTAACGAAGTCATCGGGACCAAAATGTCGGAGTCCTGCGTCTCAACAATACCCTTTCGAAAGACTAAAGACTTTACGCCTGAACCGACTTCGTCATCCCTGAGCTTCCTGGACAAGAGCGACGCTTCGCACGGTTGCACCAAGTTTGTCTCAGGCGAACCTCCCCTCAAGAGAATAGATTCTGGTTTCTTCGAGGGAATCTGTCAAGGAGAAGAGTCAGTCGGGTCACCACCCCTAGCCAAAGACAACGAGAGTTGTAGACCATCATCCTCAACACCGAAACCACAGATTGGCCATTTCATCGTACCAAAGCGGTTACGGCATGCCATTCGACAAGACCTCTGTGACCCTAGAGCTTTACTTCATTCACTCCGTCACGGCTATCTCCACACAGACGTTCGGTGCGATAAACAAATCGCAGCTCTCTGTTCGCAAGCGGCGGGTTCAAGTCAAAATATGGAGGTTGTCAAATATTCAAGAGTGTTCCTCAGTGATATGTCCACGGAACCGACGTTCAGGATATCCCAACTCTATGGTCATGGGGCTTCCGACATAGAGGCTTACCTGTACCGATGGGCCGCCGAAAGAGCTGCTATGCATCAACGCCAAGCACGCACGAACGTCGGTAAAATGAAGGAAAAGCAATCCCAGGTGGAAGGAGGACTTCTGGCTGGCTTGAGGAAACGTATCGACCGACCGGCTGGATACCCCCGGATTCTCCACTGCCGAGTTAACAAGCCGGCGCGCCCAGAGAAGACGTTGCTTTCCAGCTATTCAGAGGCATTCAGAACATGGGATGCTGCTATGTCGCAATCTATACCGGGCTATGCTGGCGACTATGAGAAGAGGCATTGGTACATATCTCAATGGGATGGTCCAAGTGCTAAGTGATGGCTTGACCGTACTAATTGAAGAAGGCGGTGGCGTTCGTGTTTTAAGAGGAAATTAAACGTGGTCTTCTGTTCTAGACACGTCTCGGCTGGGGCTCAGTCAAGGACCAAGATCGCTTGAAGTGCAAGGGATGCCAGTTTTGTGACATTGATTCAGTCATTGTCGAGATACATTCGTCGCCTGCAGCGAATACATGAAGTCGCTCATTCTGAGCCCAATACCTTGCGTTAACGGAGACAGATCAATGAGACTGAAATTTGGCAGCCCTCTTATTTTCCCTTTCGCTTTCTTCTTTTCCTTTCTTTTCTATCTTTACCTCAAAGCTTCGTACGCAGGTCCATTCCTCGCGTCCTTCCCCGCCCTCATCTTGGCCGCCCTCTTCATCTCCTTCTTCTCCCTCTTATCCTCCTTCTTCTGCACCTTCCTCGCCTTCTTCTCGTGCTTCCTCTCTTTGTCCTCCTCGGAGAAGTCGCTGCGCTCGCCTTGCAAGAACCTGCCGGGGTAGAAGATGTTCAGGACCAGCAGGGCGAAGAACATGGGCACGGCGTCGAAGACGTAGGCGAACCACTCGTGCGTCACTGTGGGAGAGTTGGCACCCGTGCCGAACTCGACGAGCCTGTAGATGTTCCGAATTATGATCAGCGCGAGCGTGATGTAAAGGAGGCGGAGGAGCGGCGTGGCGAGGGCGAGGTCCGGCATGGTAGTAGCGACGCCCGGCATTGGAAAGGGGGAGTAGTCGAGCCGGAAGGAGGCGGATCGGGTTGGATTTGGCGACGACGACGGGGCTAGGACGGGTTGGTAACGCGCTTCGGCGTCGGCGTCGTGGTAGCCTGACTTGGTCGAGGTTCTCTGCTTCAGCCGCTTGAGTTTGCGTTGAAAGCCAACGGCTAATGAGATGAAGACGACGAGGAAGAACAGCTGTACGCCGACGCCGCCTGTGTAGATATTCAAGCCGGTCTTCTGGACAGAGGGGCTCACACCAGGTCCGGTCATGGTGCCGCCGACGGCTTGAATCAGGAACGCCGTGATGTCGAACGCAACGAACATTCGTGTGATTGCCCGCGCACGGATCTTGAACACACGGTCCTCACCTTTGGGCAGGAAGAAGTGGATCATCCTGCCCAGGAGCATGTAGATGTATGCGTTGATCCAGAGCGGCGCGAGCAGGATCAGCAGGAGCTGCACCGTGTAGATGCCGCTCGACAATTGGTTCTCGATGGAGAATATCCGGGCAACATAGCCGCCCGTTTCCCACAGGGCGCCCATGATGAGAACCATGGCGAAGGGTTTGCGGTAGACGATCGCCTGGACCATGTGCACGCAAGTGCTGAGGCCGAAGAGGACCGTAAATAGAATTGCGGCGCCGAAGGACGGGCAGTAGGACCAGACGTCGTCGGGCCCTGAGCCGGCGTGGCACACGATGTTGGGCATTATTGTGGTTGCTTTTTCAGGTTGGGAGGGCTTCTTCCAGAGAAGTGGTGGCGCTTAAACAGGATATGGAGTGGCAGTTTCTTGGGTTCCTAGAAAGAGTGGATCTCTGAGGACTGGAGACGGGGGTGAAGTTGGAAGTGTATAGCTGGATTGGAAATTGAATATGAAGACTTCAATGAGGCGGCCCATGGTTGATATAGATCACAAACCTTTGGGTGGAGGAATGCTGAAAATAGCTGCCTGGAAATTGACATTGGTACTTAACTGCAAACGATAACAAACAAGGCTGTGTGTCCTAGGGTACGGTTTCAGAGAATGGCGTATTTTCACATACGAGGCGTGAATGAGTTTAGCTCGTACGAGCTCCCCACCAGCCGCCGTCCGGCTCTGGGAGCACTGGTGATAGAGGTGGTGGTTATGCGGACGAAGCCTGGAGTCGACTGAAGGGGGGCGAAACGGGGCTTAGATGTCGGCAGCATGAATTTGCGAAGGGGCTTGAGGGCGGCACTAGCACGCAAGGCTAGAATCCGTAAGCTATGATTGGTCAGGATCTTCTTCGTATTTTCTAACCATTTTCAGTTAGCACAGGTGGCCTTGTTTGGGGACACTGGCCACACTGGCCCAACTAGGTGCGCAGCCAAGGGGCTTCGTTGTCGTTCCTGGCCAGCGTCCTCCATCCTCTTCATACTTCTCTGCTACGCAAAGAGGGGCGGTCCTTAACTCAGCATTGGTGCCCTAGCCGTATGTGGTGCGAGTAGAGACAGCAGGGCCGTAAATGCAGTCCCAAGCTTGTTGCCTGGCCCCAATGCATGGGAGATCATTAGCAGCAGAGATCAAAAGGTCGGACTCCCTTAGTCTCCAGGCAGTAGCTAAAAAGTGCTGGCGAGTTCTTTTGGCTGTGCTTCTTGGTTCAGCTTGGGTCAAGTTGACTTCTGACACGGGGCTGATTGGAAACTGAATATAATATCTCCCAAAACTCAACTCCCGGATGTTTTCGAAGCCATGAGGAAATGGTCGAAAGTTGCAGAAAATGATCAGAATTGGTAAAAACAAAGTCCGAACGGGATGCTTCACCTGCAAGTAAGTCAAGCCTAGACTTGCCAGATGGCTATTTGTTGCGCCATCACACTCTCCTAACGTGGACCACATCAGACGGCGACGAGTCAAATGCGACGAGGCACGACCCAGCTGCAATCGCTGCATCAAGGCTGGTAAGATATGTGAAGGATACGCCAACGATCCGGAGTCCGGTCGAGGGAACGAACCCGTCAGATTTGTCGTCTACTCTCCCCACAATCCAACCCCCCTGTTGTCTGAGCATCCAGATCTGGATTGGTCGGAGCGGCGGGCATTGAGCTACTTCCAGGATCGGACTGCTCTGGAGCTTGCCGGCGCTTTCCAGCCAGACTTCTGGTTAGCCACTATTCTGCCACTCGCCAGGCAGGAGACTTCTGTCAGACATGCTCTCATTGCCTTAAGCAGCATGCATGAACACTTCGCCGGCGCCGATCATTTCTCGCCCACACGAGGCGTCGATTTTGCCTTGAACCATTACGGCAAAGCTATGCGAGAGGTTGTGAAACTGAAGCAGTCCCAGCTGGACCGGCGCTTCGATTACGCCCTGGTCACGTGTGCTCTGTTCTCTGCCTTTGAGAGTATCCAAGGACAGTATCACGAGGCGTGCAACCATGCTGCCTCCGGCATTAGAATCCTTGCTGAAGAGCAACGAAGTCCTAGCGCCAATACCAAGCAGACAGGGATTCCTCGTGAAGCCCTTACGCGGGTTTTCATCGCCATGGGGAGACAGATAATGGAGATCGGGGATCCCAACTTCCCGAGTCCTAGACCGGAGTTGTACCGTACGAATACCGCAATACCCATGCCGGATCAATTCACCTCGCACGAGCACGCCCTGCTGCACATGGAATTTCTCCTGGCCGACCTAGTCGAATACGCGTACCGAGCAGAGACGCTGGTGAATCAAGGACCCATCTCAGACGACGTTGCTCTTTCCCTCCTGACAGATTTCCACGCCATCAAGATCCAATTTGGGAAATGGCAGGCTGCATTTGACGCGTTCTCTTCTGTCGATGCGCACGAATACTCGCGAGAGACACCCGAGTCCTCCAGCTCAACCGCTTCCTCCCCATCAGGAGAGCATTTCAGACAACCACGGAGTCCTGCTTTCCTTATTCTCAGAGCCTACCAAGCTCTCATGATAGCATTCCTCGCACGAATCGAACGCAACGACGAAGCAGCGTTCAATGATTTTGGTCCGCAATTCTGGACGGCTCTAGATGCCGTGGAGGAGTTTATCCAAAGTACCTCCACTTTCGTCAATCCGGTGGATAGCAAGTATTCGTCGTCAGGCCGACCCTCCGACCCGACCACCTCAACCTCGACCTCGGCCTCAAACTTGACTCCGCAATCGTTCTCACAACCATCACACGCGGGACGGTGCCTCACCGTGCGGCCGACGTTCTCTCTCGCACTCGGGATCGTGCCTACCCTCTTCCTCATCGCCTCCCGAACCTTCGACATCCCCTTGCGCGACAAAGCCCTCGCGCTCCTCCGTATGTGCAACCGGCGCGAGGGGCTTTGGGATTCCCGCTTCGCCGCGAGTCTGGTCGACCGGGTCATCGAGTTGAGGGATATGGCCAGACAGATGGGCGGCGGGCAACAACATCCCGTCGATGCCGATGTGGATGGCCCTGTGACGCAGACGACAATGGGCCGGGGGGGAAGCCAAGAGACAAACAACCGTCCCCCAGGGGCCGGCGGAGGCAGCGGCGGAACCGGCGTGGAGTTCAAGTTACTGGACATCAAGTTCCTCCCGGGCAGGAGATGCATGTTTCGATACGCCTTCGTCACGACCCAGGGCAAGACGGAAGGAATCCCGATTCCGATGCTGAGTAGTGAAGTACCGAGCCATGTCTCCGGCGCAAAAGTGCATTCTGTGAGGGAGTTTTGGGAGGAGTTGCATTGGAAAGGATAGCGGGCAGGCAACGGAGAAAAAGATAGCCACAGGTACGGTCGTTCGCTGATGGCTTTAATTAATCCTACCAAATCAATCTTATAGCGCCACGGAGTCTCCGCAAGAAATCACGTCGATTTGAGCTTTATTCAGCAGGGTCTCTGTCCGGCAAACTGGGCGCTTCCCCAAGAAAAGTCTCGCGAAGTGCAGATCTCTCGAAGATGGAGTCCGTCCCTCCCTGTTTTCGAATATGAGACAGCATCTTGCGCACACCTAGGTTGTTGAATAAGTAGTTGGCCCATAAAGGGCCAGTGAGATATCCACACTTTCCTAACTGATGCCACTCTGTACTCTGAAGAATGCAGAATCCCCGTCCATGAAATACGCCACCCGCCTGGTGAAGACCTCTCCAGCACTTGGTTCAAGGCACTTCGGTTGGGTATTTTTCAAATGTTGTTTTGTTGTAATAATTTTTTTTCTCTTTTGTGCGTGGGTTTGATTTTCGTACGGCGATTGCGAAATTTGGTCTCGAAATGCTCAAACAGGCATATGGAGTGGCACAGCACAGGAATATCAACGACGGTCCGGCGGACCATCAGGATCGATTGATCATAAAACAGTAGCTTTGCTACCGCTACGCGTGTGAGGGCGTGACAACTAGCCTTGCAAGCGATTCCAAGCATGATCACTAGTCATACTGGAATAGTACACTGATGCTCTCACCATAATGTACCCTTCGAATCGCCTATTGGTAACACCCATGTATTAACATTAATCGCCTTCAGCTGACTTCATCAAACTAGGCCTTGACTCACCTCGGCGAAGACGTGACCAACCTCAAGCACCTCAAGTTTGGGGCATTTCCGGACATGGTGAGACTGGTCCACGGTATTGGTGACGATAACTTTGTCCAGTGCACTGGCATTAATTCTTTCAATAGCGTCACCACTCAAGACGCCGTGAGTCACCAATGCATAGACTTTACTGGCCCCTTCTTTCTTCAGAAGTTTCGCGGCTCTGGTGATCGTGTTGCTGGTGTCGGCCAGATCGTCGATGAGAATGGCGACCTTGGCAGTAACGTCGCCGACAAGCATCATGGTCGCATTCTGCCGATCGGTAATCTTGGTGGGCCTACGCTCTTTGTGGATTAGTGCGAACTCGATTCCCAGAGAGTCGGCGATGGCGGTTGCTCGTTTGGCGCCTCCAGCGTCGGGACTAACGACAACTCCATTCCGGTAGTCTGGAATGTGCTGCTGGATGTATTTCTTCAGGATGGGACGCCCATAGAGATTGTCAACGGGAATGTCGAAGAAGCCCTGATATTGAGGATCATGGAGATCCATCGTGATGATATGGTCTGCGCCGGCGCAGGTTAAGAGATCTGCCACAAGAGTGCCTGCTTGGGCGACCCATTGTCGATAGCCTGGACGAGGTTTGAAATTATCTTGAGGATCGATCTTTGGCGGCGGGGCGAAATCATGATTTGCAACGCCGTTGGCGGCCGAGGCTGTGGAGTCTCCTCGCTTTCGTTGCACTGGAAAGTACTCCGATTTGGTTGATGAATGGGAGCTTGCGTCACGGTCACGGTAGTGGCTGAAGCGGGCCTGATATGTAGGGCTGTTCTCGGCCTCATCGAGCTGCGACTTTGATGTGGCTTTGTGCAGAGGATGTCCATTTGTGAGGCCCTGGCTCTCGGCCTTGTCCGGATGTGGAGTCGGCGGAATGCTGTCGAAGGTATAGCCATTCGCATCCGGAACCAGTTTATTAGACGTATTCGACGCCTTGACCAGAGGAGCACCGCTCTTGTTGTAGGGTATGTCCGACTGTCGAGAGTAAGGGAAGAGCGGAAGTACAGCGGTGACCTTTTTCGCGGAGGCAGTCTTGCATGCTGAAATGGCAATGAGAAGCTCAACAAAGTGGTCATTCACCTTGCCACCACCAGACTGTATGATATAGACATCTTTTCCTCTGACTGACTCGCCTATCTCAACTCTGGTCTCTCCAACTGAGAATTTTGAGAACAGAGCTTGACCAGGGGCAATGCCGAGAATCTCGCAGATGGTTTCGGTCAAGGTTGGATGGGATGAACCCCCGAACACGACAATATTCCTGACCATCTTGTTTCGATCGACGGATGCAGACGGTAATCTTGTCTGACGTGTAAGGTGGGCTGGAGGATCTTGTAGGGTATGAGAAGGGAGGGTCGGTAGGATGAGACAGCACTCGAGAGGTGGAGATATTTGTAGTTGGCGTTAGACTATGCAGCCCGCTGTAGGCCGTGAAGCCAAGGGGGTCAACCTGGTGGTTGACATGATACAAGGAAAGGGTGAAACTCCGGATGGAAAAGTTCAAAAAAAAATCAAAATGAGAGCAAAGTGCAGTTGGTGGTTTTGCTAAGTTTGCTCTCCCCACGGAACTTTTTGTCTCGCCCCACTTTCCGCCTTGGATTCAAAGTGGTAGGGGATTTTCCCGAGGTAGAAGCATCGTCAAGCGCATTTCCATGCCGGCAAGACCCAAGACCAGTAAATTCTTGAGCCAACTAACATGAGCTTGACAAGACCTATTTGGCTTCCATGTCTGCTCCACAGATCGAAGGGTATGCACCACCCACATATCTCGTCCAGTCCGCCTGTGCATTTTGGAGACTACAAAAGCGCCGCCTGTCAACACCGACCCATTTTGCCATGCCATCAATAGACGCCTGACATCAATCACCTGTGTCAACCTCGAGATCCAGTTGGACGTTGTTGCTAACCCCGTAGTCTTGGAGAGTGAGTTGATCCTTGAAAGGTCTTTCGCCCTGTCGCTTAAGCAGTATCTCGTGAGGCTGTCTGCCAATCATCGAGGCAACTATAACTTTGAAGTCCTCTAGTATTTGGTTAGCAAGTGAAGAAACCAAAGAAAATGGTACAGGCTCACTTATTGGATCTGTGGGATAGCATGGAATGGCTTTCTTCGTGCCCAGCCTGTCGTTGACGTAGACAATAATCATCGGCTGCACTGGCGCTGCCGGCGGTGGCTTCTTCTCTTTCTTGTCCAGCTTATCCTTCTTCTTTTCTTCGTGGGATCCTGACTCCTCCCGATCTCGTCGCCTGTCGCGATCTCTGTCATCTCTCCTGGGAGAGCGTCTTCGAGAAGGTGGAGTTCTGGATCTCGACCGAGGTCGATAGTGATCTCTGTATCCTCGCTGTAGTCCCGAGTCATGGTCTCGCCTCGAGTCGTTGTCGTCTCGACGTTTGTCTTTCCATCTGAACCCTGCGTCCTTGCGCCGCGGTCGATCCTCGCGCCTGTCTCTATCGCGTCGAGGAGACCTGCTTCGTCGGCGGTCTTCGCCCCTGGACGATTCTCGCTCTTTCCTGTCAGTATTGGTGGTCGGAAGTGAGGGTAACGCAGTCTCACGCTGATCGTCGGCCATTATTCGGAGCCCAGGCCGCCTCTTATAGATTCAAGAGCGTGAGTGGAAAATTCGGTCGATGTGGCTGAGCTGCCTGTGGGACAACAAAGAACTTGCAGAGTACGAGGTAAATGGCCCGCCATTAGGCTACCGGAAAAACCTGGGGGCTACGGATAAATTCGGATAAACTAAACACTAGTGTTAGGGTTCTCAGATTGGTACAGACCTCGAGAAAGAGTGCTCAGGTTATCATGAGGAAACGGCTGTTTGGCAAAAGGCTGGCACAATCGGGCGGTGTAAATCTGCTGATTGAATGCCTTATATACCCCTTTTGATCTGGGAATAGTTGCATGATATTGAGACTACCCATCTAGAGACCTGTCGACACAGTGACCACGTACGTGATCAATGCTGAAATACCATATCCAATAGTTGTCAGCAGCACCACAGGCCGTGGGGGCTGTTCCATAACGCATCGCTGTCATTGGCACTCAACTGATACAGGAGGCATTCGATCTTTTCCGGGTATGGCGGGTCGCTGCATAGGTGTCTGCTCGAGCTCTGCGGAATTTTGGGACGGATTAGGGAAAGTTGCATCAGGCAGGACTACCAAAGGGTCTGCTTATCATTACTCTACGGAAGCTGGCGGCTTGTCTCGTGTGCTTAAACTGTATCCTCTCCCTGTTGAGTCCTTTTGTGCAAGCCAAGTTACCTGGTGACAAAGGCATGTCATGCAGTCTTGAAGATCATCAACTTCAGTATCATTCTTTCTCTCACGGACTCAAGCAAAGAATGCGATACCAGCTGTACCTCTCAAAACATCTGCTGATCAAAATCAAACCCGAAGTTGTTCAAATCGACGCCCCAAGGTGCCCAAGAACTCAATTCCCGCTCCTCTGCCGTAGTCGTTCTAACCAACGGTTCCCCAGCGAAATTTGGAAGCCGCACCGTCATCTCCGGCGCCGATGGCAGCGGGTCTGGCCCGATTAGCCTCATCTTTGGCGCACTTATAGCTTCCCCTGTAGGATTCCTACGTCCGAGATTTGCCTCGCCTTGCATCCGCGCGAAAGTATCCCACAGGATTGATGCACCAAGACGATTCGTCACGGTCAGCTCCGCCAACGGCCAGTGATCACCAGCAGCACCTGCAGTCTGCGCCTTTTCGATGAGCTTGCCAATCAGCCTTGCGGCTCTCGCAAGACTACGATGGTGCGGGAGGACTCGAAACGTTGATTGCGCGTCGATCATGCCTTGGAACGCGCGTTCACCATGTGTGGGGCTCAGCGGTTTGAGACAAATGAAGATGCGGAAGAGGAAGACTGCGGAGAAGAACAGGCCAGAGAAGAAGTGGCTGGGGAGGAATGGGAGCCTCCCCGTGGGAGATTTGTCCTCGGTGTCTGGTTGAAAGGCTATGTTCTTCATGTAGTTTATAAGCGTCGTTGCTGATTCCAGCCCGCGTAGGAACAGGGTCTGTCGATTGATAACATTTTGAGCATTCGCTAGAGAATTCTCTTGTAAAGGTAGCAAAGCCGACAATGCGTAGAGATTCAGCTTTGCAATATGTAGGTGGATACCGAGTTCGGGGGTCCAATGAGCAAAGTATGTTTGCTTGATGTTATCGAGACGGCTGTCGAACATGTTTGTGAGAGATAGATGTGCTGCTGGATCCTCAAGATCCTCAAGAGATACGGCATAGTTGCACATAATTTCGCAGATGGCAAGACCTGCTTGACTTTCGCACGACAACCAGCAAGTGAGTTGGTCTATGGCCTTCCTTACATACTTGAGCTGGTGGAAGGATGACATAGGAGGCGCAAAACCAAGGAAGATGGCTGTCCTGCTCACAATCTCAGCACGAGTCCAAAGGATGAACATGAGGAACGTACTGGGTTCCGACACTGAAGCACGCCAGCCAAGTCAGGCACCGGGTCCGGACATCGACGTTTCTATACGCGTCTGTCCCGTTGGGGACAGTCTGTCTCTGCGCCAGTGGCTTATGGCAATTCAAAGCCATGCAACTGTTGACTGCGATGCCAATAAAGGCCCACGATGGATCGTGCAAAATCCGCCGTTTTGGAGTAGGCCAGACGCACAGGAGTAAGATGGCATGAACATTCTCCAACGATCGGATGGCCGTATTGGAAAGAGGCGCCAGTAGCTCTTGGTGAGGGAAGAACAAGTCTTGATACAAATGGCTGTACTTATCATGATGCTGGGAGGCGATCAAGACCATTGTCCAGAAGAGTAAGGGCGAGTCTGCGACGAAACGAGCCAGGGATTGTATGGGCGCTATAAAGGCCACACGAGGTAAATAGTATCTCTCAAAGCTGCAAATAAATCAGTGGCGGGAGCCGTGAGATATTCACGGACACGAATAGCATACTGTCGGAATAATTCAACGGCGACTCTGGGCGGAATGGAAACACTTCCCAACACGAAGTTGGGCGAGTGTCCCACCTCCACATCAGCCGACAGGACAAACGTGGAGCGAGCTCCTGATGGAGTGGTTGATGGACGGTTCGACGGCGGAGGACTCTGCTCGTCAGGATTCTGCGAAGCTCGCACAATGTGAAGCTCGTTTACAATGTCTCGGGTGATCCTGGGTCGTCTCGATGAGCATCGGTGGTAAATCTAATCGAAGGAGTGTTCGCCATACCGCCTGGTAGATACTCTCTTGAAGTTCTTCGCGAAGCAGCAGTCCAAGTCGTTGCTTTTACATCTCGAGCATGGATTCGGAGCCTTGACTCGAGCATCGCACGCCATCTTAGCCTGTCGGCAGGCTGTACAAGATCTGGGTTTTCCAACCATCTTGCCTGTTCTCCAGTGCACTGTTCACAGCGTTTGTGATCATATTGAAGTGGAATTGAACAGGTCAACGTTTGCCTTGGAGATGATGATGTTGCGGCTTTCGCAGTTTGGGTTCTTTAGCGCGCAGTGCCAAGGTGCTAGTTATTATGCATATTTAAACCCAACTTTACATTAGTATCTATTAGGTTAGTCTTGGCGCTTTTATTATTAATACAGTACTTTAGTCTTTTGCTCTCGTCACGAGTACCGAGTATGCCAAGTACGCTTTCCCTTGTGCGGTAGTTCCAGCGAGCCACTGCGTTGCATTGCACGTTGCAACATGCAAACCAACATATCCAAATCCGTTGGCATACCTACGTAGTCTGGACTCTTTTGTACATGAATTTGTCAGTTTCAAACGAACCGGTTACTGACTGGATTGCGGTAGCTGCCCGGCCTTTCGTATCAGGGGTGGGTTCACTCTTCGACTCTCTTCTTCAGCATCTTGCGGGAGCCGCACTTTGCAGTCCACCAGTCCAAAACAATGACGCGGCTCGACTGAAAGGTCCTTGACGGTTGAGGGAACGGTGCCACTAGATATGCGCGATCGGAATGTATATAACTGACACTCAGAGTGCTATGTCTCCCCCGTAGGCAGGGAATTTTTAGTGTAGGTCAAAATGAAGGTTTCTTTCCTTGTCAGCGCTGCGGTCTTGAGAGCCACCTCGGCATTTGCTCGTCCTCCATCTCCCTTATCGCATTTCTTCACTTGGAACCCTCCTGGACCAGGCGATGGTATGATTGAGCTCAGAAAGAGCAACTCGTTGGTCAGGATGCTAAACTATAGCAGTTCGTGGCCCTTGCCCTATGCTCAATACTTTAGCAAACCATGGCTTCCTCCCACACAGCGGCAAAAACATCACCGAAGTCGACACAGTCGACGCTTTGAATGCAGCTCTGAATGTGGATCGAAAACTCGGTGTATTTCTATTTCAACATGCAATCACCACCAATCCAGCGCCAAATGCCACGGATTTCTCGCTCGATGACCTCAGCCGTCACAACATCTTGGAACATGATGCAAGCCTGAGGTGCGCTGACATTTCACCCAACTAATTCAATATCTCCCGAAATGCCCTTGAGTCTATATTGAACCTTCAACCGGCGATCTTCCAACTGACTCGGCATATTACAGTCGTGGGGATTACTATTTCGGGGACGACCACACCTTCAACCAGACGATCTTCGACCAGACGAGATCATACTGGACTGTCCCAATTATCGACATCGAAACAGCGGCCAAAGCCCGTCTTGCTCGCGTGGACACTTCCAAATTGACCAACCCGACTTTCAACCTCACCACAACTGGTACCTTGTTCAGCTTTGGAGAGACGGCTGCCTACATCATCGCTCTTGGCGACAGAGAGACCGGGACAGTGCGGAGAGCGTGGGTGGAGTATCTTTTTGGTAAGAACCGAGTTACGGTCCAAGGGCGGGTTTGACGGTGCAGCCAAAGACTGACGCGTGGTTGGAGCAGAGAACGAACACCTCCCACTTGAGCTGGGGTGGTCTAAACGGAAAACCCCAATATCGAAACACGACTTGGGTAGTTTGCTTAAGAGAGTTGTCAATGCGACAGGAAGCTCTCCGGAAGATACTGCCGTATTGGTCAGACGTGGTGGGTTTCACGGCGGCATTTAGCTTTCACGAGATACTAAGGTACCAGAGCTGAACCCTGTGAAATTGGCGTCATAAAAGGATGTGAAACTCGAGAGTACAAATTGTGAGAATGACTGATATAAGCCCTCCTCACCACGTACCTTTGGAAACCTCATGTGGACGGTGAACAAGCGCATGCTCACGCTCCAGGCGGGGGTTAAACAGAAGCAGCAAACCTCCATCCTTACGTGCCCAGATATAGCAACGCTACCTTGAGCTTGATCTCTTCCTGTCAGCAGCACGAACGAACGCCGAGGCATATTCAAAGATCTGTATCACAGGCCGCATTGCCCTTGATATCTCGTCTCGTGACTGCCGCATACGTCCAGCTTTGTGTTGATCATGAAGCTCTTTCACCTTGACAAGAAAGGAAGGCGGTCCAGTTCGGCGACCTGGCGAGCAAACCGTCCATCTTCTATTCAGATTGGTGGTAGAAGTGACAGAAGACATGAGCGATTCGCAACGGTAGTAGCACCGTAATGTTTCTTGTAGAAATCCCATTGATGTGGGTGCATTGCCTTCCCTGTGGCTGGGACAACACTGCAGACAGTTGTCTTCAGCCATCTCTGTTGCTGAGTGGAGCATGGAAGCGAACTGCCGGTTTGTTCTGACAAAGCCTGTACGGTAATTAGGGATTTTTGTTTGTGAGTAATCTGGGTGCATATGTAATACCATCTGTGGAGAATGCTCCGGAATATTGTTGGTCTGCTCCACTTTTATATCTAGATGCGGAAGGAGCATATCTTGGCGGAGGCAGTTCCTTATTATTTTTGCCTCGTCGGATATGGCAAGACCTCTGGCTCCTAGACTACTCGTCCAAAGACATTGACCGCCCTCTAGTCAGAAATAGGGCGATCTTCGAGTCGGGAGAGCCTAGTGCCGAGGGAATTTCCTTGAATTCCCGCTCGTTGTACGATCAGGGTCCTTTTATTCGAGCGCAGAGAGGCAATCTTGTCGATCAGAGCAACACGTAAAGGAACGGTTGCCTTGCGGGTTATACAACGGGCTGCAGAAACACTTCTTGACACGGTATTTTGTGCGAGGTGTCCCATCTTGTCCGTTGCAGCGACTGTCCTGACGAAGACTAACCTCGCAGAAATACACCTCTGTGGAGCCCGCCTGGCTCCATTGTCGTGTACGAAGTGAAGCTGGGCCGGAGAAAATAGTTTTGATATGCTTGGAAATCAAGGATTGATAATTGAGATGGAATGGATTCGAGAAAGGGTCCTCTTACAGCCTCTCTGGAAGTCAGTTGGGTGCTTGTCGTTCCCCTTTCGAACTTTAATACCGCTGGAAAGTGAATCAAATAAATCTCCTTCCCTCGTGAACTCATTCGGAACAACTCCATGAGAAATTAGACTTTGTCCATTGTGTTTCAGTGAACAGCAAGATTCTTATCACCATCACAGAAAATGGCGATTGAGACAGTTCTTCTCACGGGCGGCACCGGGAGCATTGGTGCGTGGGTGCTCGAACAACTGCTGAGCCAGGGCCACAAAGTTATTGCCGTGATTCGATCTCTGGCGAAATTTAAGAAGCACTTTGACGAGAAGTACGCCACTTACCTCATCAATGGATCGCTCGAGCTTGTCGAAGTGCCCGACTTGGCAGTACCTGGTGTCTTTGACGAGCCCGCATCCAGGGCTGATGCGGTCATTCACGTTGCAACACCCCTGACGACCTCTGATTTCGAGAATACAATGATCAGAGCGACATGGCTGATTGATGAAAACATTCTTAACGCGGCCAAGCAATCACCGAAAGTCAAGCGCGTTGTCATATCGGGCTCTGTCGTGTCGGTAGTAAAACTTCCAGAAGGGTTGTTCCAGGACGTGGTAGCGACCGAAGAGGATTGGAATCCCATAACACACAAGGAGGGCTTGGTGGACTTACCTAACGCTTATTCCTACTCCAAGACCAGCGCAGAGAAGCAGGCGTGGGCGTGGATGAACAAAGAAAAGCCCAAATTTGACCTGGTCGTTCTCCTGATACCGTCTGTTATCGGCAAGAGCATCAATCCTGGCTTCAAACCAAACAAAGCGTCACTTGGTGGCATGTCCAATGCGTACAGCTGTTTCATCGACACCCCCCAGCTGAGTTATGTATTCAACCCTTGGATGTGAGTATCTGACCCGATGCGCTTTTCCTCTCTTCAGGCTCGAGACTAACATCTTCTAAGGGACGTCCAAGATGTGGCTGCCTTGCATGTCCGGTCCGCAACGGACATCAACAACGTCCCTGGTAACGAGCGATACTTGATAAAGGGCCCAGGTGTTCTAGACATGAACGAGTTGGCAAACAAGATAAGGGAGGAGTTTCCTGAGCTGCGAGGTCGGGTGCCAGCACCAACCAAACAAGGCGAGGGCAATCTTGCACCTCTTACCACATTCGACACCAGCAAGGCCCAACGGGTTTTTGGTACCGAGTCGCAATTCCGCGACGGCTGGTCATCGATGAAGGACACTATTGCAGATATTGCCCGGCTGGTGCCCAGCCCGCCCACAGCCTCAACGTAATCAGTTGACACGGAAACCGCGTTCCGCACAGTTTTGGCATTGGTGTTGCCTGTAGATGCTCCGCTCCTCACGTAGTTAGCCAGCAATCAATCAACATACATGTCATTGCTTGAAACATACTCCAGGTGTCTAGAAGAGCTAACTCTGGAAAGTAGCTCTGAGCATAATTAATGCAGAAAGGAGAGGCGACCAACGACTTGACACGACGGGGATGACAAGGCTTGCAGGGTCACCAAATTTACGGCCGATCACTAGGCGTTAGCGACACTTATACGGTCGACCAAGTGGACCCCAGCACCAACCGGCATCATGATTCTCCATTCCGAACACGACACGGTCTTGTCGCGGACAAGCCTTGGATCCTTTCTGCTCAATCTCATATCTCTCCCCAAAATACAGATTATCCAGCTAATGCCCTTTCAGTGCCTCTGATATGACCATGGGACCATGCTCACCGGTTCTAGCCAACATCTTTCCATCCACTTCCCCAGCCCGACAACAGTCAGCTTCACCGTTTCTACCAGACAACCGTATCCGCAAGCCTGGTCGACAACAAGAACCTCTTCCTATTCATACTTCCCCAATGTCCCTATTTTCACCCTCATCAAGCACGCGTTGCGAATCCTTCTCACCTTGTGCATTGTCCTCATTAACCTGACGAAAGTCCAGACAGACGGCCCGCCCTCAAGAATTGACGCGTATGCGGATTTCGGGCTACAGCTCAGTTTGCTCGGCGGGACCATCAGAGTAATTGCCGAACGGACAGAATGGTGGATCCTGGCACCGATGAGCTTAGGGATTGTCTGGGCGTGCTTGAGGAGGGACTATGTCGGTATGGGTGCCGTCTCGTTTTGTCTGTGGTTCTCTCATCCTTTGGTTTTGCCCGAGGCTCTTGCATCCAAATTATAAAGCAATCCCTGCCTCGACATCGCTAGTTCCGGGCTACAATCACTGTCTTCAGGAAGGGCCAGTGATGCCGAATTGATATTCTCTAACTGATCGTATAGAAGAGTCCCTCTTAGTCCTCCAAGGTCTTGGAATCCAAACGTCCACGTCCTCTCGCTACTTCTTCACTGGCGCAACGACGACATTCATCCCAACCACGCAGATCCAGGATATTGTCATAAACGAAGCCTTCAAAGGGCTTGAAGTGCGGTTCTACTTGGCGGTGATTGTCGAGGGGGCTACGGAGGTGGTGGTTGTCTTCCCTGTAGGCTTTCCCTTCGTGACGCCGACTAAATTGTCGTGTTTCCAGATGCTGACAATTTTTCGACCTGCAGACTCTCCTCCCACGGCGGGAAATTCTCGAGGAAGTCTGGCGAGGATCTCGGAAATGCTTGTATTCAGGCATCCGCTGAAAGGAGCATTGGCTTCTACTCTACTTCAGCATTCGTCTCCTCAAACTCCTCCCTGGCTTTATCCCTCGCCTCCCGACTCTTCGCCCACTTCGCATTCAACACTTCCAACGTATCCATCCTTGGCTTCTTCATCACAGGGACATACCGTCCGCTGGTTCTTGCCCTGCCACTCCCATCAAAGACTTTCTGACTTCGCACTCGAAAAGGTCGAGAACCTTCTCGTGTCGCTCCTCTCTGGAGAGAAGTGCCGTCCCCCTGAGAGATGGAAAGATCGAGAAGACTGCCTGTAAGGAGTTCTTTCATCTTGGCATCGCGCCATTGGGTCCAAAGTTCGTCTACCACGGCGCCGATCCCGAATTTCCCGTCATTTTTGGTTGAGTTTGTTGTGAGCGCAGGGACGGTGGCTTCATCCCCCGCATACAGCCAGTTCAAGGAGTCTTCCATCACACCACCACTCCCGTTGTCGTTGTCGGGATATATACAATCCCACAGCACCAATGGCGCGTCGTCAGCCATCTCATACATTGGTCGACCGGGATTCTTCTCTATATCAAGCAATTCATCGATAATGCTTGGTTCCTCAAGTCCCTGTCCGACAAGGAACAATATTGCCGCCATGCACCGCACCTGATGCCACAGGAAGGCGGTGCCGTGGACGCAGAAAGTGTATACTTTTGGGCCTCCTGGAAGGACTGGCCCATTTCCATTTCGGAGGATAGAAGGACCGAATCCAGTTTGATTAAGACCTTCATGTTCTACAAACACTTTCCCGGTTGCGGGGAAGTCAAGCACGTCCGCGAAGGCTACCCTCCTCACGCAGTTCGGCATCTGCTTGCTCGCGTCAATTTTGCAGAAATTCCTGAAGTCGTGCACCCCCACGAGTTTCCTCGCGGCTTGCCTCATTTTCTCGATGTCCAGCCAGCCCTCTCTGACACTCGCCGGCCCCGTTCCGTCAGTGCGTTGCATGCCGAGTGGACCCGGGGTGGGACAAAATGCAGGATTGGTAAAGAAATATTTATACCGGCGCTCGCGACAGGAGAAGCGCGCATCGAATGTGGGTGGTGGAGAGGGGCACCAGGCCAGAATGCGGATATCGGCAGGGAGGATCGCGTTGAGAAGGGAGATGTACGGGAGTTCGTCTTTGACAGGGTCGAATGGTTTTGCGTGGTAGTCCGTGGTGAGGTCGGTGGCATCGATGGACGGCATAGTATCCGCCTCCCCATTTTGCTGTTCCGCATCGCCGTGATTGTCGACGGACTCTTCTGGCGCAGGCTCTGGACTGGGTTGAAGCGGTCGGTTACTCCTCACTCTAATCCCAATGACCTGGCCAAACGCAGACACGCCCCTATCCGTCCTCCCGCATTTACTATACTGATATCCTTCCCAGTTGAGATCTAATCGGACCTTGCCCTCTTCTCCCGGCTCTTTGGCACCTTTTACGTATTTGCACATCCTCTTGTCCTCTCCCCAGACCACATCATAGCTCTGATCCGTCCCCTCAGCCAACTCGGGAGAAATCAGCCTTGCTTTCCTCAGCGCCTTCCATAGAACCTCTTCAATGGTCGGTTGCGGCGTTACATTGCCGTTTGCGTGCTCGTACCCGCCATAGCGGCTGCCAATGTAGGCAAACTTTAAGGCGATGTGCCGGGTCGAATAAAGAGAGGGGTCGAATGCACGCGTGCGGCGCGGCGATCGCGATCTGCTACTACGGCGGACGATGACGGGAACAGGTTGCTGGGTCGGGGAGGGGGGGGATGATGATGATGATGATGCTGGGACAACACAAGTAGAAGCGGAAGAAGGCATGTCGTTGTTGTTGTGGTTCGTGCGCGTCCTCAACGAGGCCAGCTGCGTCGTCTGTTCGCGCAGTTGTCGCTCCAGAGTCGTGATGCGCGCGATTAGGTCTGTAGTGCTGTACCCCGAGTAGTCCATCTCTGGCTCCGTCTCCAATTTGCTACCGGGTTCAGCAGCATTTTCTTTCGCGTCCTGGTTCTGTGTACTATTACTGGTGGCTGACATTGCGAGATGCGAGGAGGGTTGAATTGTGGACCACCACCGCCGCTGTGCAGCAGTGGGAACCGCAAGAGCAATAGCGCGTCGGAGAGAAACAGTAGTCCAGGTCTTGTGGCAGAGAAGCCTTTGTGGCACGAGCCCACTCGTGAAGAAATCTTGCACAGCAGCAGCAACGGAAGACATCAAACATGAAGAGAAGGTGAAGCGTACAATGCTTGCGCGTGGACGATGGCGATCAACGCTCGGCGAGTCGGCCTTTTTGGGGGTGTTCAAATAAAAAATTTCGGAAGAACTTCGGGATGATGTCACCCGAGACGAGGCTACACCAGAGCCTTGTGGAACAGACAAAATGAAGAAGGCAACAGACTGATCATGTCAAGTCATGTGCAGTTTGAATTTCGGTGATTCCACCTTGATTCTTTTTATTCTTTGTTTTCTTTGTTTTCTAACTTTTAGCAATCGCTATCAGCCGAGAAACGGACGTGTCGTCCATAATCACCTCGCGTGCCGCAAGGTCTCCAATACTGGTAGAGTAACCAACGAAATAGCAGTTCCTACACCCTGTTCCCGTCCAGCTTCAATCTCAAGCCGAGTAAATTTCGTGGTCAGCAGGTGTTCCTAGTCCACCGTGTCGTTGTTTTCCTGTCGTGCTTCATGAAACTCCTGTTCTTCATCATCGTCGGGGCTTCCTTTATTTCCGCTTGCGACATCGCCGACATTTCCCTGAGAGTCTTGAATCTCGATTTCATCCTCTGCATCATGCATTTCCTCGTCTTCATCTTCTGCCCCTTCGTTATCTTCTGCCGCATCTTCACCTCCGTCATCCACATTCTCCCTGGATATTTCGTACTCCTCGAGCATGTGTTTCTTTTCATCATCCATATCTTCGAGCTCACTCAGCTCACTGCCCGAATCTTCTGCATCAGCTTCTTCGTCGGCGCTGTCTTGAATAGAGCCCCTCCTAGAACTTGTTCTGCTTCCGTCCATATCTTCGTCCTTCGTCTCGGTTAGCCGTTTGTTAATCGGTGCGTCTGGTCCCGATTCCACCTTTGAAGGCACCTCCACAGCAATAACAGGTGTTTTGGAAAGGATTGGGGTCTTGATTGGTGGCGGCTTCACAATGGCAGCTTCCGCTTTGCGCTGGATCTCACGCCGGGTGACTGTTTTTGTACGTCCGGGTCTGGCTCGCTCGCGCTGAACCTCGGGAATTTGTTGCCCACTTACGACCGGGAAATGGGTAGGCGAATTTTGCAGCCCAAGTCCAATAGGTGCAGAGATTGACACTGACAATGGTCCGTCAGCAGCACCGTCGCCCTGAGCGCGGAGCATATCGTTCAGACGAGCACGGTCAGCACCATCATCGCCACTGGTAGTGAGATCCGTCGTCATGTTGATGAAGGTGCCTTGTGGGAGGGCAGCATGCTGTGGCTTGGGCTGTTCTTCTGGCGGCAATTGTTCGAGGAATTCTTTGTAAAGACAAGCGTAAGAGTCGCCTATGAGATCGTCAATGATAGGTCCTTTCATCAGACTGTTATTGAGGCGTTTCAGGTCGATGGCGTCTCGCATGATGTCCAAATATACTGAGGTAGTATCGGGATCGTGCGCCCATTTCTCCATCATTTCTGACTTCTTAATGAATTCCTCATAGTTCATGCCGTCGAATAATGCTCGTTCCCGACCTTCGGGGATATTACCGTGCCGTCTCAGAAGCCGCACATAGGTTGTAGCCACCTCCTCCCAGACCTTGGTATGATCGAGAAAATCGGTTGTCTTCCTCCGAATCCGGCGGACCAGAGCGTCCAAGCTCGCACGGTCATTGAGCTGCTCCAAAATGTGCACGAAGAAGGAGATGTATCGGCCGGTATAAACGTAATGACGTCCCGGCCGTTCAAACTCAGGCTTCCAAACCTGCATTGTCATGGTTTTGGTGAATATCTGTTGCGTAAACTGATGCTTCGCGCCAAGAAGCGCCGCGAAATCCGTCCCTTCGTCGTAAATGATATGCGCCGCACGGTCGGTGATTCGATGATGCCAATTGGACTTATCCGCATTCCCAAGCCTCTTTAAGATTTCCAGCATGTATCGGACCCAATCCACTCCTTCTTCATCCTCGGACAAATGCACACCTTGCGCATACCGGGATACCTGCAGATATTGGTGGGCTTGTGTGTGAGTGATTTTTTGGCTTCTCACCATCTTGTGAACAATCGATACAAGTTTAAAATGGGGCTCTAAGATTGGCTCATGGGTCTTCTCTTTCTTAGGGAGAGCCTCGACGGCCTCAATGATGGCATCCAGGACGGCTTCCGTAGAGACACGGCCGTGATTCTCCGGACTTTGGAACATCTTCCACAGACACTTCGCGCGCGTGTAGTGGGATGTCCATGACTTCGGTCGATCCGTCAGCCTCCTGCTGAGAAGATAAGCTGCAAAATGCCACAGGGCATATTGTCCTAGAGGCTTGTGATATGGTTGCTTGGACATTGTCATGTCAATAGTGCTGCTCATGTGACGCACATGTTTGTCGGTCCTGAATGC